AATTAGTATTTATTCAGCGTGTTATTGTGTCTTAATTATACAAAACTTAATTCAATAAAACACATCAAGAGCGTTGTCCCATCAGCGAATGAGCAATAAAGTCTCTGAACACTGATAATTCGAGTTTTGGCGAACGAGCTTACTGCGTAGGCGTTTTCTCTGTTTTCCCCATGTGCAACGTGTATATAAGACAGTTTCTTTCAGAAATTCCTCCACGAAGACATCCCTACCCTTAGGCAGGTGACCTTCGAGTGCTTTGCCACAGTCAAATTAAATAAAATTTAAAAAATAAGTAAGCATCATGAGCATTAGACTAGAGTCTCTGTTTAATTCTTTCTATATATATAGAAAGAGAAAGAATTAAAGTTATAAGGATTAGTAAAACCATAAGAATCAATCTGTCAAAATCCGATGTCTTTTTTCATTAATGCTCTTATAATTTTTCAACGCAGGAATTTCTAAGAGCATCTGTTTATTTGCTCTTAGCCCCTCCAAAAAAATAAGTAGTGGAATAGTAAAATATACTGATATTTTCTTAGATTTTAAAGAAAATAATATCATTATGGCACGATTAATAAACTCGCGGCTTTCCTACTCATGACTATGCACAAAACCGGAAAATTGCATGACAAAAACTTAGATGTCTAATTATGATTAGCAAATAAACTATTTACTTCATGTTTAGTTAATTAGATCTGTCATTATATCAAGTAAATTGTGAAATATTATTTTTATCTGTAGTTTCAAATAAACTCTGGATAAAAAATACCCAAAGTTGCAAATAAAATAAGAAATTTTCTAAGTTAAAAAAAGATTTTACTTTATTAAAAAAGTAAACTATCTTGGGATCTATCGAAAATCATATTGTTTTAGTAAGAAAGTATTCCTTTTATCCTAGCAAGCAATTGTATATAAGAGGTAAATTCAATAACTAAAGTGAAGGGTATTAGAAACAGAAAAATATTTTTTAATATTACTGCTGTATGCACATTGATTTCCATAAAATTTAAATAGATATATATATAAACACACACATGCACACACACATGTATACATACATAAAAATGGAGGTTTATGAACAGAAAAAAAATTAAACATTTACATTTTTTTCTTTTAAAGTCTTGATTTTCAATTTCCCTCAAAATTTTCATTTAATAACAAAATCCATAGCATAAAGCGAACATTTACTGTTACAAGGTCAGATCGCTTTCGAAGCATTCTATACTTCTTGAAAACTCCCGAAGGGCAAAGCTCTGACAGTGATTGATACTTTTAGAGTCGACACTAATTAGTTCATCTGGATGATTCTCTGCAGGTGTAGGGGGGGGGTAAATAAAAACTGCTTAATGCTTTCAGTAGATACAGTGACAGAAAACTTCCTCGCTTTTGAAGCATTTCATTGACAAAGCTGCTGACACTTTACAAAACAATACCTTATCTCTTTCAAAACCTCTGGAGGGTTAAAAGGATTTTTCATACTTTTTTGTTTCTTTATTTACTTTCTTCTATGCATTGCATTAGAAAAGCTGCTATTTTAGCAATGAAGTAAGTAAAACTTCTATATGTATGAAATGATAAATTTGTCGAGGCAGAATTTTTCACGGTAAAAGGAAGAAAGAATAAAACAATAGTACCAAAAATAAAACATTATTACTATTTGCATGATATCTTCGTTATCTGTTTCAAATTATTATAGTATGTTATTTATCAGAATAAAAGAAATAGGTTGATACTTCTGAGTGGCAGTAAGATTCATAATAAAATACAGTCAAAAGTCTAATCTAAAGTCTACGTAATCCAGACTCGTCGGGACTTCGGCGATTCCCGATTATCGATTTTTCCGGATTATAGATCATCAGTTTAAATCTAGTAAGATGACATGCAAAAATTATAAAATTAAAAATATGAAACCGTAATTTATGAAATAAAGAGCAATTATGATCTAAAGGGTATCAAAATTTACAAAAAAAAGAAAAGCGTAATATTTATTTGTTTACTTTATTAAACATTTCTTTCAACACGCGCTTGCGTGAAGCATACATTACGCATAGTCGAAATTAGAATATTGTAACCAGAAAACTATTTGATGTGTATTCGTGATATTTATAATGACAAGGAATTTTATTTAAATCATATCAAAGACGGAGTACATCGAGATGAAATACTACATTTAGTAAGGAGTTATAAGCCGAATAAAATAAAAACATCTGCCCTGAAGATAAGGATACTGCTGACAGATCAACTTCCAGTTCATTGCGCACTGCGACGTCCCCCCCATCCCGCGCAGAGCGGCGTGAAATTGATAAACAGATTTTGGAGTGGTTAGAGAAACAAAAGATATGCCTTTATCCATTTTTTTCAGAAATTCCACTTTTTGTTTGATGGACATCGAAACGTGCTTTCCCTTTGTAGATCCTTTTGCAGCTCCAGCATCGGAAATTCTATTTGACATAATCGAAAGTTCCAACTTACTTTTATAAAATTGCTCTAACAGTCTGCAAAAAATAATAAGCCGGATCCAATTCGAAGGTTAAGGAACAACGCAATCTGCAACATTAACTGAATTAGATAATTTTAGCTTAGCTTATACCGTCCGTTATCATTAAACATGCATGTGTAAATGTATTATGCGCATGCGTACACGTATATGCGCATGCTTAAAGGTGTTATGCGCATATGCGTTGACGCATGCGCAGAAAGTTTGTAGCTTTGAGGTCCGGATTATAGATCATTCAGGATTATGGACGTCTGGATTAAAGACTTTTGACTGTAGTATGACAGTGAAAAATGCCATGCTTACTCCTATCAGTGCGTTCACATACAGATGTAATTATCATGATCCATAAACTAAAGTAAGATTTGTCAGAAAAGACGTCATTTATGAAATCACATATATTATTTAGTACATCATTGTGTAGGCACCGATTCCTATACTGTAATGTCAAGGGAAGCGAAAGCAGTAATTGCTTTGCTATCAGTTCTATGGCATTGTAAATATCGTTGCAACCGTACATGTGGATAGTTTGTAATGTGCAAGAAATATTGTTTCCTAACCCATGCTACGTAATATGTTTGTATGACCCCTAATCTTGATGCAGACAAGATGTCTGTTGTCTCAGGCACTGGTGAGTGGGAACGTTGAGATCCCATGCACTAGTCTGTATAAGTTTCTTGAAGCAGTAGTTGATCAGGTTATCTCTGCAATTCTGGAAGGCTATGATTTTCTCATGATCAATGTCTGAGAATGATAAATTCTTTCTTTTTACATAATGTATAACTCAATCTCTGACACAAAAAACAATAAATGAACATGATTTCTGGAATAAAATATAAGTGAGTGAACATTTCTGAATAAAAATTTTGCATTTCAATCTGACTTACTTTTTATACAGCTTGCAGCTTAAATATACTCTTGCCTGTAATATAAAGGTGTTGTGAAATGCATATCATTTGCATATCAAGCATATTTTATCTTTTAGTGCAACTTTCCGATTTTGTTGTGACCTTTCTTTTCTAGAGCAGCGATTTTAATGGCCAGCAGTATGATTCCTATGTAAGTACTGTTTGTTGTCAAAAATGAATAACCTTTTCAATTGTTGTTATTTAGCTTCACTTCATTAATTTCTGTAGGAGTTAATAATTTTATTGCTTACATTGAAAACGTAATTGCGATAGATTATGTTTGAAGGATACCAAATTTTTAGAATAAGGTTTCAAGAGGAAAAAGTGTTTATTTTTTCAATGGTTGAAAATGTATCATTTGTAGAGAAATTTTTGCTCACTGGTTTTTCTGATTATTTGAATTTGTCATGTAGTATGTATTGAATATCTTAATTTTAATTCACAGATATATGATTAATCCTTTTTTGCTAATTAAAAGAGAAATCAGCAGCTCTTCATTTTCAGTTATTGACCCAAAAATGAAGGTATTTGTTTTACAGAGTTATAGCAGCTAAATAAAATTAACTTAGAGGCAACCCTTCATTTCTTTTAAAGCAAACTGACTCACTATTTTTCCAGTATTCAGGGAAATTTAATTTGAAAAGTTATTAAATTAAATTATAATGTTCTTGTGTGTGTATGTATGTAAGATATAATGATAGCTGTTTCAAAAAAATAAATGATGACCTCAAAATTGACATTCTAAATTTGGTAATCTGCCCCTAAATTCATCTCTTCTCACAGGTTCACAGATGCCTCTCGTCCAATCAAATTAATTCTAAACCAAAACTGTGAATTGAAACTTCAGCCTTCTTGCTATGAAAGTACTATAACCTTTCCCTTTTCCCCGCATAGCTTTCCTGCTGACAAGACGCTTTTACACCATGCTGCTGCTTACTTAAGATGACGTTCTAATTAAAAATACAATTTATGTATTCAAATATAATTAGGAAGTATCTTATCTGAAAAAGGATGATTTAATATGCATGGAAAAAATAAAGATTGTGATTTTTCAAGATATGTTGTGCTAAATTGCGTCATCATACTTTCCACGCAGCCACCTTCAAACCACATTTTCATTACATGTATATATATATATATAGTTTTTGACCAACTTGGTCTTTTTGGTATAGTACTTACAACCTAGCTTATTAATTATATATATATATTCCTTTTTAAGTGCATTTTATGTTTTTATTTCCATTTTTAATCCTATAATTTGGCTTTATATGCTATGTTGCATCTTAATATTATCTGTACTATACATATGTGAGGATATTAGTCCTTAATATTTATATATGTCACATTGTGTGCTTTAAGAATAGTTTTATGAGGATGTCTAAAAATTTCATGAGGTTATAAACATTTCAGCACTTCTATATATACTGTTTTCTTGCTATTTTTGTTAAAAAAATGACAGGTATTAAACTTAATTATAAAAGAAATTAATTTCTAATTAACATTCAGCACTACATATTCATCATGTAATCAAGAATTTAATTATTAAATATTTCTTCATTGCTTGTGATGTTTCAGAGACCAACTGTTAATGTTTTCAGTTAAAACTGATGATGAAGGAATTGTTGTTGATGATCTCAAAATGAAAATAAAAAAGCTCTTTCCTGATGAACCGACTATTTGCAGACCACCTCTACAAGCTTTGCTTTATCTTATACCAGTTTATCATAATCCTACAGGATACATTCTTCCTGAAGGTAGGTAATATTTCTTATAATTTCATAAATGTAGTGTATATAAAAACTACAAATTATAACACATTGTTTAGATATGATAAGTTGCTTCTAGTAACCACAATAAAACCTCTTAAAAAGTGTTGAAATAAAAATATAATTTTACTTATTGAATTTTATTTGTGTAATTAATTTTTCTCTGTTATGTAATTGTCACAAATATGTTTATGACTTTTTTGTGTAATTTTGTAAAATTTGTATGCATATGTAAAATAACATATAAGGAATAAAACATATGAGGAAAGTATGAAGATGATGCAAGTAATATATATATATATATATTATTTATTTATTTATTTATTTTTTTACAAAATAGACATAAGAAGTTTTACTGGTAAAAGTAGTAAATGTTATGTGTAATTCCTTAGAACAATGGAAAATGATGATATAAGCCCTCATCAAAATTATATGACATATATGATTTTGACAGAAGTAGAAATTAACTTTTATTTATTGAAAAATGATTTAAAACAATTTGTACAAAGGCATTTATTTGATACAATTTCTAAGGTACAGAGTACTAATCTATAATTTCCCTTTCTTATTTCTTGTTTAAAAATTGAAATGTAGACAGAAGGTTTTGTTTTTAGGAAGATGTCATCAGCTTATAAGTTTAGCTCAGAAATATAGTATTACTATATTATGTGATGATGTTTACAATCTCCTTCACTATGATGGATTGAAAACATGTCCCAAAAGACTATTTTCATTGGATAAAGAGTAAGTGTTCAATTTTAAATAGTTATTTTTTATTCTATTTTTGTTAAAAATATTTCTCTGTTATCAGAAGTTTATTTTTGCACGAGTGCCATTTTTGATTTGGAATCCAAATAAAAGAAAACATGTGGTTATATTCTAAATATCTGCTGAACTTAGTAACAATTAGAATGTTTTTTTTTTTTTTTTATGGCACTGATGTCAAAAGGGAAAACTTGATTTTTTTTTAGACAAAATAGTGACTTTTTTTTAGAAACAATTATGCATCAGAACTTTTTTTTAGAAAATCAGTACCCAACAAAGTGTTTGATAGTCAATGTTATTTATATTGGTGTATAAATCTTGTGTCACTTTTAATATTTTTCCATAATTTCACAAGACTTAACTTTGCGTACCTCCAAACCTGTTGATAACTTTGATATATGAGATTGATATTTGAATATTTTCATGTAGTGTTCAATATAATTATGCCTTATTAACAAACACATGCATCTTTGAACTTCATTTTCAGTAGCAGTACTAGATTTTCTTTCACATCACTTAGTTGAAGAGTTTGCATTAAATTTTGGTATATTTATATTGCATAGGTTTATATTTCACTGTCATTATGTTAGGTTGTCTGGAAAATAATGCAGGTTTTTAACCTATATCTTTAAAGTATCATAACTCAACTCAAAGAATTTTATTAATCAAAGTAAGCACCAGCCGAATCAATGTATTTTTGCCAACGAGATTTAAGTTTATTTATGGCGGTAGAATAAAATTCTGGAGTTTTGGACGCGATAAAGTTATCAAAGGCATTTTTGGTCTTGTCTTGGTTTCTGAAGCATTTCTTCTGCAGAATGTTATACAGATGTTTGAAAAAGTCGGCGAGAGGTCAGGCGAATATGAGGAAGAGGAAGAGTCTCGTATCCCAATTCGTTCAATTTCTGTAGGGTCAGTTGCAGGATGTGCGGCCGAGCATTGTCGTGGAGAAGAACTGCCCCCTTTCTGTTGATCAATGCTGGGCACATGCATTGCAATTTTTGGTGCATTTCATTGATTTGCTGACAGTACTTACTGCCGTAATTGTTTCGCCCAGATTTAGGAAGCTGTGGTGGATGAGAGCGGCCACAGACCACCATACAGTCACCATAATTTTCTTTTGGCACAGATTTGGTTTTGGAAAGTGTTATGGTGTCTGACCGTGGTCCAACCACTGAGCCGAATATCCGGTTGTTGTAGAGAATCCACGTTTCATCGCACGTAACAATTCGATCAAGCAAAGGGTCGTTTTTTTTTTTTTTTTTTTTGCGGAAAAGAGCAAATGACATTTCAAAACAGCGATTTTTAAAAAAATTTATTTTCGCTCAATTCATGAGGCACCCACTTATCGTGCTTCTTTGACTTTCCTATATGATTCAAGTGATCAGAACTCGTTTTGCTTACGCCAATCTCCTCCGTAATCTCTCGAACGGCTGTTCACAAGTCTGTTTCAACTTAAGTCTTCAAATTGTCGTCATCAACAGCTGAAAAGCATCCACGATGCTCTTGATCTTTCAGGTGAAATTTTCCATGACGAAACTTTTAATACCACCGTTGAACTGCAGATTCATTAACACTTTTCTCGCACCATACTTTGTGGACATTTCGAGCCGTTTGTGCTGTGCTGTCGCCTAGCTTGTACTCATAAAAGTAAATTTGCCGAAAATCCCATTTTGACATCCAAAGAAAAACACCTAGTAAATATTTTTTTAAATAATTTTGGAACAAAATGATTATTATAGAATATAGAGCGAAAATAGAGCTTCAAAATGATATAAAAACCAATATAATTCAAAATACTTTTGTTGCTAAAAATGTTCAGGAAAGATAAACAATTGCAAAAACCTGCATTATTTTCTCGACAACCCAATATTATTGGAATCAATTCTTTATATTTTTATACCTCTAAAAATAATTCATTGAAGAATAAAATAACAATAATTCCTTCAGCTTTTAATTATTTTGATAGAAAATATTTATAATTGATGTGTGAATGATTATATCTTTCATATTCTTCTTTTTCTTGAGGTCATATCCAGAATATGTTGGCAATGTAATTTCTAATGGCTCGTTTTCAAAAATTTTGGGCCCAGGATTAAGAATTGGATGGCTGGAAGCACCTAAATGGGCAATTGAAATGTTCCAGGATTTGTAAGTATTAAAAGCAGCTGAAAAGCATCTATCTTGTTTTTTCACCTCCTAAGATTCTGTAATTAAATTCCTTGCAATTTTAAAGAATAAATATATGTAACTTTTATCAACAATTTTTAACCTGTAGAGTTCCATAATATGCATTTTAAATAATCATTTGTTTTGATTCTTAATGAATAAGAAATCAAACACAGTTTATAAACGCATAAACATTTTTAGGAACACGGTGCTACTGTTGAAATTCCGCCTTAATTCTGTCTTTGTAAAATTCAGTTTTCATTTGAAGTAACTTGTAGTTTTTTTGGTTCTTTATAGTGTGCTAAGGAATTTTTTTTTTTCTTTTCATTTTTTTATTGATTTTTATGCGGTATATTAGACAATGAATCTTGATATTTGTTATGGAAGAAAATTTCAAATGGCATATCATTTCCAAATTTTGATAAGTTATTAGAAGCAAAAACTATGTAGAAACAATTTAATGCACAAAATGCAGTTTTTCAGGTATCTAGTTACACTTGTTAAATTCCTTCTATGAGTATCGCGACTGAAATAAATATATGAATTATTTCAAACTTGTCAATTTTCAACAAACTCTCAATGTGCAAAATGGCTAGATGACAGAATCTTTCTTGTCCATTTCTATTTTGTATGTAAATCATAAATCATTGAAGAACAGAAAATGAAAGCTCATTGCTTACAGATTTCCCTAGAATGGTGAGGAATATTTTTAACACTTCCTTTTTAGAACACTTTTAAAGTATCATGTAAAAAGTTTTTAAGTTTTGGATAAATTCTGTCATTAATATGTCCATCTGCATATATATCAGTATGTAGAGAAAGAAAATTATAAGTCAGAACAAGAATTTTCATAGATATTAATAAATTAAAATTTTCTAGATTTTCCAAGACTTTAAATAAATCTTAGGGATCTGCATATTGTTTTTAATCATTTTTAAAACTATTTTTGTTTGTAAAGTAAGTTTAAGTCTGTATGGGATGTTATTAAACCATGAATATATTGTTGCAAAAATGTCCACCTGCGATAAGATATATATTGTTTCCTGCAAGGCGGGGTTAGGGTTACTAGATTTGGCGTGAATTTGCCCATTTGGTGACAAAATTGGTGATATGCCATAGATGGAGCGAGAAGAGTCTAGAATTCATTCTTAGCTGTTTTCCTCAAGAATGTTCATGAAGGTTGGTTTAACCTATATATACCTTGCTTTTACGCCAAGAGAGTAGTATGTTTAGTTCAATAGTAATGTTTTGAGTTCAGAGATTAGCTTGAGAGTGACCAAACCGAGTCAGGGTTTGCAACAGTTCAGTTAAATGATTCTGATCCACAAATGTGGGCATAGGTTCAAATCCCGCTTGTGACACCAGAAGCCACTTTTGTCGCCAAATGGGCAATTAGCACCAAATCTAGCAACCTTGCCTTTCCCTCACTTTCTGGCAAGCCTAACCCCGCTTTGTAGGGAAGCTATCTAAGGGCAGCTGGGCATTTCACAACAATATATATTTTAGCTCGAAAGCATATGTACCAAAAATTGTTCAAAATTTCCTCAGGTGTTATAAATACAATGTTATAATTAACCTTATTTAATAATTTCAATAATTTCTTCATTTTTATTTCATAAATCATTCTATTGTTTTATGAGAGCTTCAAAGATTAATTAATATCTTCACTTTATTAAAGGCATTTCATAAAACAATTTGCATACCTTTTCCCATGTGTTATCAGTAATAGGCATTGCAAGGCAAAGTCTGTGAATTGTTAACTTCCAACAAAGAATCTACGAGACAGTGCATCGCCTGTTTTTATTGTTATTCCTACTAAAGTGTTTTCAAATTTTCTATATTCTATGAATAATTTTTAAAATTTTTTTATTGGTTTTAAGGGGACTTTAGGATATTTAACAACAATATTAATACAATCAAAAGTCGTTAATCTGGACTCGTCGGGACTTCGGTGATTCCGGATTATTGATTTTTCCGGATTATAGATCATCAGTTTAAATCTAGTAAGATGGCATGCAGAAATTATAAAATTAAAAATATGAAACCGTAATTTATGAAATAAAGAACAATTATGATCTAAAGGGTATCAAAATTTACAAAAAAAAAAAAAAAAAGAAAAGAAAAAAAAGAAAAAAAAAAAAAAGCTTAATATTTATTTGTTTACTTTATTAAACATTTCTTTCAATGTAAGTTGTTTAAGTTGCTTCGTTTTTTATGTGATAATACTTTCTCTTTAATTCTATAAACAGATATAATTTCTTGTTCAGTTACAAAGTTCCGCTGTTCAAGTCCTATAATTGCTGTGTCAAGAATACCGACTAATTTGTCAGTCGAAATTTTTTTGCTTTCGAAGACGCTATCGGAAGCGAGTTATAATGACGAGGAATTTGATTTAAATCATATCAAAGACAGAGTACATCAAGATGAAATACTACATTTAGTAAGGAATTATAAGCCAAATAAAATAAAAACATCTGCTCTGAAGATAAGGATAGTGCTGACAGATCAACTTCCAGTTCACCAGTTCATTGCGCGCCGCGATGTTCCCCCCCCCCCACACACACACATACGCAGAGCAGTGCGAAATTGATAAATAGATTTCGGAATGGTTAGATAAAAAAGGACATGCCTTTATCCATTTTTTGCAGCAATTCCACTTTTTGTTTAATGGACTTCGAAACATACTTTCGCTTTGTAGATCCTTTACATATTAGTAAATATATATCAGAAATTATATTTGACATAATCGAAAGTTCAACCTTACTTTTATAAAATTGCTCTAACAGTCTGCAAAAAATAATAAGCCGGATCCAATTCAAGGATTAAGGAACAACGCAATCTGCAACATTTACTGAATTAGATAATTTTAGCTTAGCTATACCGTCCGTTATACATTAAACACGCATTCGTAAACATACTTTGTGCATGCGTACACGCATGTTTGCAGCCGTAAAGGTCTTACGCGCATGCGTCAACACGACGCTTGCATAGAAAGTTTGTAGCTTTGAGGTCCGGATTATAGATCATTCCGTATTATGGGTGTCCGAGTTAACGACTTTTGACTGTATCAGAAAATTGGGTGTCATTAGTTAAACAAACGCAGATGGCAAAATATCTCTTTCTTTCTTTAACATTTATTCTTCTGGCTTTATAAAATTTTTGAAATATAGACAAAGCTTTCATTGTAGGTTATGTATTTTAAAAGTTAAATGTCAGTCTTCGTTTATATAAGTATATATGAATTATTTATATTAATATATAATTTTTGAAAAGAAGTAACATTTTGCTAGTTCTGTAAGTATCTGGTTGTAAGGAAAGTTTTAGCCAGTGAATACAGAGACATGATGGAACATTACCTTTCTGCGCTGGAACTCAGTTCAACATTTGTCCTTGATTGCAGCATCAACGTGGACTAGCATCTCACTGAACACCTTACTGTTGAGAGTTTTATCTTTTCCAGATGCTGTTTGTGGATTAAAACCATGGCAATCTCACCAGATACAAAGCATGAACTTTTTGTTAGTCAAATTGTGCTTTTTGAACACTGTAGATGGGCTCACCTGGCACAAACAAACCTTCTTTTCAACCTGTGTTGTTGAAGTAAATCCATTTTTTGTCACAAGTGACGATCTGGTTCAGAATTTTGTCCTTGTGTTGAAATTCGAGCAGATTAGCACAGGCCCGAACATGTCTGTCATCTGCTTGAGTCAGCTGATTCAGCACCCAGTGATTGAACTTGTACGTCAAGTTTATGCAATGTATAGCATGACTAATGGACATGGCACAGTGTTCTTAAGTAAGTCTCTTTCTTTCAAATGCCAAAAATCATTTGAGAAAATATAATAAAACACAGCAATGCAAACTGTTTGTACAGATGATATTTGTGGTGGCAGGAAACTTTAATTAAAACCCAATATTTTGAATAAACTTCATGATTCATCAGCAAATATATAAGTATACATGAGAGTAGCAGTGCAAATACACATTGGAGCCAAAATTTTACAGTTCTCTGTGAAACTTAATTTGAAAATATTTGGTGCAAGTAATACAGTGTTCAAGAAATATTTTTTAAGGATCATTCATTGCATTTAAAATATGTAATATTAAAAAAGTAATTGACTATATTTTTAATCGAAATTAAATATGAATAAGTGTTTCTTTAGAAATGTAGACTTTTAGTAACATCTTAAGAGATTACATGTTCATCATTATCCTCTTCACAATGAATGTTTTTCCTCCCATACCACTACTTTATGCTTCTGATATTAAAGTATTATACCGTGCTGTTGAGTAAGATACATTTATAATTTTCTGTTCTTCAATATATTCAAAATGTATTTTATGGATTGATAGTTATCATCTTTAGTGATAATAAGTTCTTGTTAATTCTACCTATTGAAAGTCAATGATTGCTGTGGTATGCTGTCATCGTGTGCATCACTTTCAGTATAACAGCACAGTATGTCTTTTTCATGTAATAATACTTTAATATCAAAAGCATAAAGAAGTATATGGGAGGAAAAACATTCATTGTGAAGAGGATAACGATGAACGTGTAATCTCCTAAGATGTTACTAAAATGTCTAACTAACTCAAAATGTCTTCTTCTTTATTATTATTATTATTATTATTGCTATCAATTTCTGTTACAGCTTTCTTTACCAGTTCTTCACAGCAGTGGCCTCAAAATCTTTTTATTTAACTGTTCATATCATTTCTTTACCAATACTTCACAGCAGTGGTCTTAAAGCTGCATGCGGACCAAATGCACAATCTAAAAGCAACTAATGGGCTGAAATTTTTTTTTAACAAAAAGGTTTTTTTAAAGTAAATATTTGTTAACTAAATTTCAAGTCTTAAGTATTAAATATTTATCAAAACATACATATGCAATAATAATAATGATACGAAGGGAAAAATTCCAATTTTTATTTATTTTCTGTCTGAAATCTAAATACTGGTTTCTGCAAATTTTTGTTGTT